GGTACCATAAGAAGATGTAGGCTGCCATTGCTGCTTTTAAAATGCTGGTTGCCTGGCTGTCAAGCTCTGGCCAGGGGCAGATTGATCATTTGGAAACTCTGGCACTGCCCGAGGGCCCGGGGTCAGTAGGGGGCCCCATGAGATGCCCCTGGTACCTTTTTCATAGGCTTTTTTTGAGTTTGAGCAAGGACACAGGGGCCCCATGATCCCCTATTGCCCGGGGGCCCCACGAGTTGTCAGTCCGCCCCTGGCTCTGGCTTCAGTGCTGAATTGCTGTGCTTTAATTCAGCGTGTCCAAAAATGCTGGTTGCCTGGCTGCCAAGCTCATCCTCCGGCTTCCATACTGAAGGCGTTCTGGCCTGGCCTGGCTCTCTGGCTTTCTAGTCGGCGGTCTCAGACAGCCAGGCACGCTGCATTTTCCAGTTTAGGGGCTTTAATGCTGCAGCTGCCGCTCTCCATCGCTCTGCCAGTGCAAGGCGCACCGCGACGCCCAACCTTCGAGGAGCGATCCGCCCAATGCCAGGTGGAGGCGTCTGAAAGGGGCAAGATCCCCCCCCCCAATCGGGAGTCTCACTCCTCCCGCATCATTAAATACATTTTATCGAATGGGGACGACTCGTGAAATCTCACCGATGGAGTTCCCCCGGCGTGGGCGGTACAACCTGTCCTCTGATACGGAAACGTCACTTTTGGGTGGACTGGCCCTTTAAGAAGCAGCTCAGAGTCAGAAGGATACAAATGTATCAAAACAAATGAAAGTTTCTGCTACAAGAAGATACAAATGAGGGTCTTCCACTTCCTCCCCACCCTGCTCTGGGACCCTCATCCAGGACCCCCCCACCCCTTCATCTTCCTGGAATCCCCCACCCCCTCTGTCCTGAAGACTACATTCAGAGGGGCACAGCAGAGGGGGGGAGGGAGAGGAGACCCCCAAAGAAGGGAAAGGATTGTACTCCCCAGAGGAGCCCACCTTACCTGTGTCACTGCTCTGTGCTGAATCTCAGAGAGGACAGGGCTGTGAAGGGAGGAGGGGCTAAGGAGACAGAGGACACGCCCCTGGGTGTCACAACACCCAGCTTTTAAAGGGCTAGTCCACCCTTCAGAGACACATGACATGAGATCATACAAGAGGACCTGTCCTGTTCTGTCTGTAGCAGAAATCATTGCGGATAATTAAAGACGCCAAGCTCGTCGTTTTTGCCGTACATTAGAATGCGTCGCGTTAATCAGCCGCCCCATGCACCAAACGCCATGATAATTGGACGTGACCAGGGGCAGACTGACCATTCAAGCACTCGGACACTCCCCGAGGGCCCGGGGTTAGTAGGGGGCCCCATGAAATGCCACTGGTACCTTTTTATAGGCTTTTTTGGGTGTGCTTTGAGTGTAGGCAAGGACACGGGGGCCCCATGATTCCTTATTGCCGGGGTCCCCATGAGTTGTCAGTCCGCCCTTGGACGTGACGCAGAACTTGTAACGCAGTGCGCTTTGGTGCGTTGCCATGTTTTGTGTGGTGCACTGTACAATGCATGCGCGCAGGATTGGACTGACAACTCATGGGGCCCCCGGGCAATAAGGGATCATGGGGCCCCTGTGTCCTTGCCCAAACTCAAAAAAGCCTATGAAAAAGGTACCAGGGACATCTCATGGGGCCCCCTACTGAAACCGGGCCCTCAGGCTGTGCCTGAGTTTACAAATAGTCAGTCCGCCCCTGTGCGTCATCTTATAGCGCTTTGAGGTGCCTTCAGAATGAATAGTACAGTAATGCATGTAACGCACTAGTGGGTTTTCATACATGGATGGCTGTTTTACCGCCCCCCTCTGAAAGGGTTTTGTGTTGGATTTTCAGAGGCAGGTGACAGCAAACACCCACGTTGCATGCTGGTTGCAGGGTGGTCCCCTGCACTTGACTACGGCCCCCTTCACACTTGAGCGCATTGGAATCGAGGGCAGAATCGAACAACTCCACCTGTAATTCTATAATCAATGCAAAATGCGCAACACTTTTGCGGAGCCGTTTCTTAATGGCACCCCAAGCGCAGAGCGACTTTGCTGCAGTTGTTGTGCAATAATTGTAGCATGGCAAGCAGGGGTGGACTGACAACTCATGGGGCCCCCGGACAATAGCAGATCATGGGGCCCATGTGTCCTCGCCCACATTTAAACCACACCCAAAAAAGCCTATGAAAGGTACCAGGGGCATCTCATGGGGCCTCCTACTGACCCCGGGCCCTCGGGCAGTGCCCAAGTGCCTGAATGGTCAGCCCTCCCCTGATGGCAAGCTCAGTGCTAAAAACCGGCAAATGAGCTTCTTTGGCGCACTTTTAGGCTAGGTTCACGCCTATGCAGTTTGCTTTTGATCCGCTTCTGCAGTGCGTTTTTGCATTTTTGATGCGTTTGTGATGCATTTTACATTTTTTCTCCAACAGATTAAAAGGCAAAATGCATCAAAAACGCACTACATCCTGCAGCTTTTCCATTGAAGTCTATAGCAGCATGGTGCAAGTTTTACAGCCTATACCTTTTGGCAGGCAGAATGGGCCCCAGCTGTGACTTGGGTCCCCGTTCACACCCGAGAGATGTTACCACGTCACTTTTTTTTTTTTTTTTTCGCGTGTATGTGGAGTGTTTTTCCATCTCCATCATGCATTTTGAACGAGCCCCCCTCCGCTCTAAGTCTAGATTCACACCTAAGTGTTTTCCGCAGCGTTTTGCAGAAACGCAGTACAGTCCACGTAACATGCTTTCCTATGGGACACGTTCACATCGCCGCGTTTTCCCCCGGTTTGTTTTTTGGAAGGGGTCAGGGACCTTTTTAAATGCAAATGTTTCATTTTTTGTTCTATAGACGTCAATGGAAACACTGCAGAAACGCATGTAGTGTGTTTTTGCTGCAGTTTAAATCTAAAAAATAAAAGAAAAATAGCAAAACTCATCAAAAACGTGGCAAAAACGCAAAATACAATGCAGAAACAGCTCAAACGCAAACTAGATAGGTGAGAACCGAGCCTGAGCCCGGCTTCATACTGATGCGGTGTAGAATTTGCAGCGTTTTCTGTGCGAATTCAGCACCGCATCAGAATCGCACCCCGTTCATGCAAACCACTGCGGGTATGTTTGTTAAATTAACAAAACCCCAAAAGCGGTCCGCAAAACGCGGTGCGATGTGCAGAATTGGATCGCATAGGTGTGAATATCCATGTGATCCGATTCTAGTGCGGACCCAAAAAAAGGGTCCTGCGCGTTTTTGGTGCGGTGTGATTAGAGCCATACAAAATGTACGACTTCGATCGCACCGCACACAAATCACATGTGATTTACACAGGAATGTGGCGCGTTTCCTGTGTGAATCACATGTGATGTACCGCACTGCATATATGTGAACCCGGGCTTAAAGCGGAGTTCCACTCAAAAGCAGGAGCTCCGCTTGTTTGCCCCCCCCCCTTCCACTGGCACCTTTTTGGGGGGAGTGGATACCTGTTTTTGACGTACCCGCTCCCACTTCCAGCTCAGTTCAGCCCCCTCCTCCCTCTCCTGGGAACTTTCACAGGTCCTAGAAGACTGCCGGACCAATCAAGAGGCGCAGATTGACTCGCGCATGCGCAGTGGGCACCCGGCTGTGAAGCTGCAAGCTGTCATAGCCTGGTGCCCACAGTTGAGATGCCGGCACCATGGAGGAGAGAAGGGACGGCGGCGCGGGTGAGCACATCGCTGGACCCCGGAACAGGTAAGTGTAGTTTATCAAAAGTCAGAAGTTACAGTTTTTGTAGTTGCTGACTTTTAATAAACACAAATGGCTGGAACTCCGCTTTATGGTGATTCCAAGTTCCATGATTTGGTAATGCTACCCCAAACACGGTGCAAATCTGCTGCGACTGTCACGTGACAGAATAGCATGGCAATCGCAGCAAATTGTACACTAAGCTTGTCACCCAAAAAGGGGCAGGGGCATCTGATGGGCACTGATAGGTGGCACTGTCCAGAACTGATAGGTGGCAATGATGGGCGGCACTAACTGGCACTGATAGGCGGCTCTGATGGGCACTGATAGGTGGCACTGTCCGGAACTGATAGGTGGCAATGATGGGCGGCACTAACTGGCACTGATAGGCGGCTCTGATGGGCACTGATAGGTGGTACTAACTGGCACTGATAGGCAGCACTGATGGGCAGCACTGACTGGCACTGATAGGCGACAGTGATGGGCACTGATAGATGGCACTGATAGGCAGCACTGATGGGCAGCACTGACTGGCACTGATAGGCAGCACTGAAAGGCAGCTATGATGGGCACTTATATGTGGCATTAATGTGCATTGATATGTGGCATTGATGTGCACTGATGAGCACTGGTATGTGGCATTGATGGGCACTGGTATGTGGTATTGATGTGTGTTGATGGACACTGATATGTGGCATTGATGTGCATTGATATGTGGCATTGATGGGCACTGATGGGCACTGATAGATGGCACTGATAGGCAGCACTGATGGGCAGCACTGACTGGCACTGATAGGCAGCACTGAAAGGCAGCTATGATGGGCACTTATATGTGGCATTAATGTGCATTGATATGTGGCATTGATGTGCACTGATGAGCACTGGTATGTGGCATTGATGGGCACTGGTATGTGGTATTGATGTGTGTTGATGGACACTGATATGTGGCATTGATGTGCATTGATATGTGGCATTGATGGGCACTGATGGGCACTGGTATGTGGCTTTGATGTGCATTGATATGTGGCATTGATGGGCACTGATATGTAGCATTGATGGACACTGATATATGGCATTCATGTGCATTGATGTGCACTGGTATGTGGCATTGATGTGCACTGATATGTGGCATTGATGTGCACTGATGGGCACTGATATGTGGCATTGATGTGCACTGCTGGGCACTGATATGTGGAATTGATGTGCATTGATGGGCACTGGTATGTGGCATTGATGTGCACTGACATGTGGCATTGATGTGCACTGATATGTGGCGTTGATGGGCACTGATATGTGGCATTGATGTGCACTGATGGGCACTGGTATGTGGCATTGATGTGCACTGATGGGCACTGGTATGTGGCATTGATGTGCACTGATATGTGGCATTGATGGGCACTGATATGTGGCATTGATGGGCATTGGTATGTGGCATTGATGTGACATTGATGGGCACTAGTATGTGGCATTGATGGGCACTGACAGGTGACACTGATGGATCTACACTGATGATCAGTATACATGTCCCCTCTGAGGAATGCCACTTACTGACTCTCCTCTCCTCAGGTGTTGTCAGCACGGTTTGGAGATATTTGCCGTACCTATAAACACGCATTACAGGCTCACCTGTTGGTGAAATTCAACCAGGAGAGTTTATTCTCAGTTTAAAATCTTCGGATCATAACACGATCGGTCTGATCTGATGCCTTTTTCAACTCAGTAATGGTTTGTTTACAACCGCGAAGCCAGAAACAACGATGCTCATTGCTTCTAGTTTTTCAGACCATAGAGCTGATCGGGGGCCATTCCAGTCCCCAATCCACACTATGGTTAGCCGGTGGAACTGATGGCTGCGCACTGGAGCTCCCTGGTGGGACAGGAGAGACCGAGAAGGGAACCCCCTCCCCCGCTTATAAAAGCAATCCAATGGCTAATTAGCCTCTAGGATCATTTTTTTACGAAAAAGGTAATCGCCGGCTGAATGAAAGCCAATTCCAGGCATCATCCCGGGATAACCAATGGCGTGGCAAGTGGATTGAAAAAAAACCACAAGAAGCTCAATGCTCAAAAGGTGGCATGAGCCAATATTTCACGTTTGTCGTGCGTGCCGCAGGCCATTGGAATGAGAGGCCGACCCTATGTGTGTATCCCAAATACAACTTTGCGTGCGTTCGGGAAACGCTCAGCTGTGAATGGGGCTTCAGCAGTGGCATCCCTAGGCAGGTTCGGGGGGTGCGCGCCGCACCAGGTGACACCTACCGCCAGGGGCGGACTGACAACTCATGGGGCCCCCGGACAATAGGGGATCATGGGGCCCCTGTGTCCTTGCCAAAACTCAAAAAAAGCCTATGAAAAAGGTACCAGGGGCATCTCATGGGGCCCCCTACTGACTCCGGACCCTCGGGCCCGAGTTTCCAAATGGTCAGTCCACCTCTGCCTACCGCATGGGGTGACACCGGACCCGCTCAACCAAAAGGTAAGTTGTAAAGCAAACCGACGATCCCCGCAAGAAGGATCGGATCTTCGGATTGGGGAACATAATGGATCGGAGTCCAATCCATTATGCTCAATCTGCAGATCCGATCCATCCTGCGGGGATCGTTGGCATTCAACCTATACGGGGGTGACACCGGACCCGCTCCATGAAAAGGTAAGTTGTAAAGCAAGCCGACGATCCCCGCAGGATGGATCGGATCTGCGGATTCAGCATAATCCGATCCATTATGCTCAGTCCGCAGATCCGATCCATTCTGCGGGGATCGTCGGAGGGGGTGTCACCAAGTGTTATCGCATCGGGTGACACCAACCCTAGGGACGCCCCTGGGCTTCAGGGAGATGGTTCCCCGGGAGTCTAACATGTATGGCCATCACAATTATTGCAAGTCGTTATACAAACCAAACTGTTGATTGGAAAAATTGGCATTGAAAAGAAGGCGCCTAAAGAGAGCAAAGGGAGGGAACGAACGTCTGATCGCAGGAACTCGGCTGCCATTTGACGGGTTCAACAAATAACCTGAATATAGAAAGCTGTGGGAGTGTCGGTGTGTCTTCCGCCGGGTGTAGATCAGGTTTAACCACATTTTACTGACCAAAAAAGCTCATTGAGATGTTGGAGTTAGGGAGCGGTGCGCACAATAGGACAGGGGAGGTGGACAACCACATTCACTACAGATACAGGGACATCAAAGGCGGACATTTTTACTGTTCGTGCGTGAGAAACCCAAGGACGGCAATGGGTGACAGCCTGCCTTACTCAACCGCCAATTATCTCAGAACTGCCGATCAGAACATCTATACTGCTGTTCAACACAACTGAGATCTGGACCAATAAAGCTGCATCAGAAACCCGACGATTAAACTTCCACTTTGTTATTTCTATTAATAGTTAATATACAGAAAAAATGCTGAAAACACTAAAAATAAAGCTAAGAAGAAGAGTAAGTGCGGGCATTTGGAAAACTCTTCTGAACGCTGGAAAACGTAGGTTCAAAAACGGCAGTTTAGCCGCATTTATGTGCATTTGCGTTTAGAAGCCTTTTTAAAAGATAACCTCAGGAGACCTTCCCAAATGCCCAGAATGCACTGAGAAATAGTACAAAATTAACTATTTCAGACAATTTGAGAGGAATAGAGAGAGCAGAAGCAGAGATAGCAGTATGTGTCGAGATGACCTGTCTTTTCTGGACCGGATTCTGAGCGCTCCAGTTTTAGTAAATCAACCCCACGGTGTCTTCTTAGGACTCATGTACACAGGGCATTTGAAAAACTTTTCTGACTGCTGGAAACTGCTAGAAAACGTAGGTTAAAAAAACGTCAGTTTAGCAGCATTTACGCATGTTTATGTGCATTTGCGTTTTTAAAAGATAACCTCAGGAGACCTTCCCAAATGCCCAGAATGCACTGAAAAATAGTAAATAATTAACTATTTCAGACATTTTGAGAGGAATAGAGAGAGCAGAAGCAGAGAGAGCAGTATGTGGTGAGATTAGCTGTCTTTTCTGGTTGTATTCACTATGGATCCCATCATGAACATAATGCGGCACGTTCTACCATTTGTTCCTTCACACGAAACCCTCCCTGCGCACATCTGATTCACCCAGCTGCCTGGATCCCACAATGCCGGCTTCCCTCCTCTACTTCCCATAGGCAGCTGCAAGCACACAATAGGATCCTTCAGGATGGAGGGTGGGGGAAGGGTCCGATAATTACATCACATTAACCAGCCCCTTCCTTCCCTGAATGAACACAATAAGTGATAGGTACTGATCACTCACTGTGTTCATTCATAACTAAAGCATAGTAAACTGTTTTTTTTTTTTTTTTTTTTGAAGGGGGCCCTTTCAGCTTGGTTGTATGGGGCCCTTTAGTTTCTAACAGCAGCCCTGGCACCACATACAGTGTCTCCCAGAAGTGAGTCCCCCCTCCCCTGGACTGTATACAATGTATGTGTGTATATATATATATATATATATATATATATATATATATATATATCCAGTATCTCCCAGAAGTGAGTCCCCCCCTCCACCGGACTGTATACAATGTGTATATATATATATATATATCCAGTATCTCCCAGAAGTGAGTCCCCCCCTCCACCGGACTGTATACAATGTGTGTATATATATATATCCAGTATCTCCCAGAAGTGAGCCCCCCCCCCGGACTGTATACAATGTGTGTATATATATATATATATATATATATATATATATATATACAGTATCTCTCAGAAGTGAATCCCCCCCTCCCCCGGACTGTATACAAATATATATCCAGTATCTCCCAGAAGTGAATCCCCCCCCTCCCCCGGACTGTATACAATGTATATATATATATCCAGTATCTCCCAGAAGTGAGTCCCCCCCTCCCCCGGACTGTATACAATGTATATATATATATCCAGTATCTCCCAGAAGTGAGTCCCCCCTCCCCCGGACTGTATACAATGTGTATATATATATATCCAGTATCTCCCAGAAGTGAGTCCCCCCCCCCCCCCCCCCCGGACTGTATACAATGTGTATATAAATATATATATCCTGTATCTCTCAGAAGTGAGTCCACTTAGGGGTGGAGTCACTTTTGTTGCCAGCGGATTAGACATTAATGGGGTGTGTTGAGTTATTTTGAGGGGACAGCAAATTTCCATGTTATACAAGCTGTACACTGACTACGGCACATTGTAGCAAAGTGTCATTTCTTCAGTGTTGTCACATGAAAAGAGAGAATCCAATATTTACAGAAATGTGAGGGGGGGGGGGGGGGGACTCACTTCTGGGAGATCCTTCATAGAGCAGATGGTTGCTGTGCATTGCGGTAACGATTGTGAACAGGTACATCACCACGATGCACAAATGTGAACGGCCCTCATAGGACGGGAGACACTGTGGGGAGTCAGGCAGTTGGTGGACGGGGCAGATCTGTAGGGAATCTCCGACCTTCTTCTGATTCCACACTCACCTGTCCCACACCTTCCTAAAAAGGAGCCTAGAGGTATGACCCAGGACGGCTGTGTGATGAAGGTGTGTGCGGGAAGAGTTAATCCCTGTGTACACGGCCTCACCCAGCAACTGTCACTATGTGTGAGTTAGTGACCTGGGGACCTTTGTTTGCTGCGGTTGGATCCATCCAGGCGATTTTCATGGCCGCTGTTATGCAAAGCCCCGGCTTACATGTGCTGTCGCTGCGGGAATCATGAGGATGTATTAGGACAGGGGAAAATCTGGAGCTGGATTTGGTTTTCTTTTGCACCCTTGCAGCCCATTAAGGCTCGGTTTCACACCTGTGCAGGTTGCGTTTCAGCCGTTTCTGCATTGCGTTTTGCACCTGTGTTTTTGCCACGTTTTGCAATTTATTTTTTTTTATTTTTCTTGTTGCTAGGCAGATTTAAAACACATCAAAAATGCTTCTTTGGCGCACTTTTAGGCTAGGTTCACGCCTGTGCAGTTTTCTTTTTATCTGTTTCTGTGCGTTTTGCGTTTTTGATACAGTTGCGTTTTTTTCTCCAACTTGTTGCTGGGCAGATTGAAACGCAAAACGCATCAAAAACACAGTACATGCTTTTCTGCAGCGATTCCATTGAAGTCTATAGAACCAAAAATGCAACTTTTTACATTCAAAAAAGTCCCTGACCCTTTCCAAAACATTCAAAAACACAGAGGTGTGAAACTGTCCCATAGGAAATCATGTTAAATGAACTGTACTGCATTTCTGCAAAACGGAAAACGCTTAAAGCGGAGATCCACTCACCTGTCAAAAAATAAAAGTCAGCAGCTACAAAAACTGTAGCTTCTGACTTTTAAAAAAGTCACTTACCTGTCCCTCGGTCCCGTGGTGTGTCCCCCGCAGCAAG